CCGCCTCCCATCAGATCAGCCGCACAAACCCTACTGTGAACTGCGCATACGAGGGATCTAGGTTGCTCAGTCCCAATGAGAATCTAACGTCTGATGATCTGTCACTGTCTCCCATCACCCCCAGACAGTACTGTCTAGTTGCAGGAATACAGGCTCAGGGCTCCCACTGATGCTACAAGATGAAAGTTGCAGAATTATTTTATTCTATATTACAGTGTAGTAACAATAGAAGTCCACAGTAAATGTAACATGCTCGAATCATCCTGAAACCATCACCCCTGACCAGGGCCATGGAGAAACTGTCTTCCACGAAACTGGTCCCTGGTTCCAAAAAGGTTAGAGACCACTGTTCTAAGGGGCTGGGGAGGTTCTGTTTCTTGGTCTGAGTGGTAGGCACATGAGTGAGTTCGGTTTCATCCTTTCACACTCCTCCTTTGCACGTTTTGCTGTCTCCATGCTAGACTCCAGCAAATATCTCAAAAGACAAGCACATATGTGTGTGTCAGGCAGAAACGGGGAAAGAAGAAAGAGAAAACCACTGCATTCATCGATCACCACCTCTACGTGTAAGTTTCCTTCCAGGACTGCCTGGAATTGACTTTGCATTCCTGCAGAGGAAACCAACTTCCTTTGATTGCCTGTGTTCTGAGGCCGACTTCCCCGGACCTGCCGACCAGAAATCCTTCCTTGCAGCCGCCCCTGTAACGTGGCTAGCATTTGCAATTCAAAAGTGTCTTTGGCCCTGATTTTCCGAGGAAATGAAAATGGTATGCGTTATCAGCATATCATCCAACAATTTATCACCACGTTGGAACCTGACAATGTTGATTTATGATTCCAGCAAGAAGAGCAGCGCCCCCAGCACCCCAGTTAAGAAATGGAGGCATCAAGGAGTCCCAAGCAACAGGCGGGAGAGGCCGTGAGGTTACCGCAGACTCGGTGTCCCCAAGCACGGGTGAGAATGGCTATGCAGACTGTTCCCTGCAGATCTCACGACTCTTTTTCTCCTCTCCTTGCTCCCGGGTGCTTTGTCTGTCACTCCTGGCTCCAGTGGAGCTGCTCTGCCTATGCATGCAGAAACTGAGAGGTGCCTGGGGTTCCTGTCCTCCCCCCACTCCCCACCCCCCAGAGCCAGCTCTTAGCCAATGGCGAGTGGACTCCAGAATGTGAAAGCCCGGCTCCCTTTGTCTGAGTCTGGACAGACCCTGGAACAGAACTTACACTGCAGAGCCTTCCTGCAGATCAGGCCAAAGCCACCCCAGGGGGATTTTGCCAAAGGACCTTGCCCTGGCTCGGCGCCTAGGTCGCCCGCCTCCTGCTCCCTTCCAGACTTCCCCAGACTACAGCCTTCCTACATGACTTGCACACAATTCCTCGCCACAGGGCGTGCTTCTGCGGAACCCAACCTAAAACCGAGGGGAAAATGGATTCTAGCCTTTCTCAGATTCAGAAACAAGAGACCCAAATGGCCCGGGCCTCCCACCTCCCACCTCCCGCACACAGGGCCTGTGTATCAGGTTTCTGCAAACACAAGCAAGTGGCTTGCAACACGTTTGCAAGCAGCCGTCATCATTTCCAGGATTTGCTATGATTCAGGTTGCAATGTTTTATTTCAGTTCAGTTCACAGACAGACATGAGCTACACTCCGGGGCTCATGCCCACATCTGCGGTTTGGAACTCGAGACGCACTGTCCAGGATGGCCAGCATTAGGACGGCACCCACCAGGTGACAAGCCTGTTCCCAGAACAGCCTTTTTAAAATTATTTTTATTTTATTTTTGTTTATTTATTATTTATTTATTGAGACAGGGTCTTGCCCTGTGGCCCAGGCTGGAGTGCTGTGGTGCAATCATAGCTCACTGCAGCGTCAACCTCCCAAGCTCAAGCCATCCTCCCACCTCAGCCCTCCAGCCCCAGTATCGTGGGACCACAGGCATGTACCACCGTGCCCGGCTAATTTTTTTTTTTTTTTTTGTAGAGACCAGGTTTCACCATCTTGCTCAGGCTGATCTTGAACTCCTGGACTCAAGTTATTCACCTGTCTCGGCCTCCTGAAGTTCTGGAATTATAGACATGAGCCACTACACCCAACCAGAAAAACCTTCTTAACCCATGTATTACCAAACCTTGATTTGATTTGATTTGATTGTTGTTTTTGAGACAAGAGTCTTACTCTGTTGCCCAGGCTGGAATGTAGCGGCATGATCTCATCTCACTGCAATCTCCACCTCCTGTGTTCAAGCGATTCCAGTATTCTCCTGTCTCAGCCTCCCAAGTAGCTGGAATTACAGGCGCACACTGCCACACTAAGCTAATTGTTGTATTTTAGGAGAGATGAGGTTTCACTATGTTGGCCAGGATGTCTCAAACTTCTGACCTCAGATGATCCACTGGCATTGGCCTCCCCAGTTGCTGGAATTACAGGCATGAGCCACTGCGCCTGGCCTGAACCTTGATTTTAAATAAGTTAATCTGAGTTCCAGTGGTCTTCCCCCAGTTTGAGGTGGAAGATAACTTTTCCCCTCCTGGAATCAAGTCTGCTGTTCAGTACGGCAAGTGGGAGCTCTGGGAGCTCAAAGACCTGGGAGCGGCCGGGCACAGTGGCTCACGCCTGTAATCTCAGCACTTTGGGAGGCCAATACTGGCGAATCACCTGAGGTCAGGAGTTCGAGACCAGCCTAGTCAACATGGTGAAACGCTGTCTCTACTAAAAATAAAGATTAAAAATGTTAGCCGGTTGTGGTGGTGGGCGCCTGTGGTCCCAGCTACTCCAGAAGCTGAAGCAGGAGAATTGCTGAACCTGGGAGGAGTAATTGCAGTGAGCCGAGATCACGCCACTGCACTCCAGCCTAGGTGACAGAGTGAGACTGTGCCTCAAAAAAAAAAGCCCCGAGAGCTCTGCCACTCACATGCTCTGGGATAGGCCACTGGCCCTCTGTGCCCTCCAAATGTCCCCATCTGCACAATGGACACAAGAACACCAACCTCTCAGGACTAGAGTGAGAATTGTTTAATAATGTTAGGCCAGGTGCGGGGCTCACACCTGTAATGCCAGCACTTTGGGAGGCCTAGGCGGGTTCACTTGAGGTCAGAAGTTAAAGATCAGCCTGACCAGTATGGTGAGACCCTATGTCTACTGAAAATACAAAAATTAGCTGGGCATGGTGGCACACGCTTGTAGTCCCAGCTACTTGGGAGGCTGAGGTAGGAAAATCGCTTTTACCCAGGAGATAGAGGTTGCAGTGAGCCGAAATCAGGCCACTGCACTTCAGCCTGAGTGACAGAGTGAGACTGTCTCAAAAATAATGAAAGTGATAATATTATTATTACTAAATGGAGCTGAGCATGGTGGCTCACCTGTAACCCCAGCACTTTGTTGAAGGCTCCACCAGGAGGATCACCTGTGGAAAGTATAAAAGTTTCTTTTTAGTTTTCTTTCTTGTTAAAGAATAAGTGTGTTAATAACTTTGTTAAGCCCTATCCTATGTAGCTGTTAGACATGCCATGCTTACAGGCATATAGTACACTCTGTGTCCTTGTTCTTTAACCAAAATATCTGTGCTGGACGTGCTCACAGGCATGTCCCAGCTCTCTATTGCTTTTACCTGTTTAGAAAAGTATCAAGTTATTAGCCAATTGGGTTTTAGTTTAGTTTGTGAGGTCTGGCTCCAGCCAACGGAGAAAAGACACAGCAGTAAGGACGACCCCAAATGCGTAAGGGATAAATGTGTGTGTTTCCCTTTGTTTGTTGTACTCTTGTGGCAAGAAGGCTGGTGAGGGTGCCCTTCCTGCAGCCCGGGAAGTAAAAATTGCATTGCTGAAAAATCCTTCACCTCAATGCTACTTTTTCTTTGTGGCACCAAGCATCTATTTCCAGCGTCTATTTCTAACATCACTTGAGACTAGTAGTTTGAGACCAGCCTAGGCAACATAACAAGACTCTGTCTCTACAGGAAAAAAAAAAAATGTAATTAGCTGGGCACGGTGGCACACACCTGTGGTCGCAACTACTCTGGTAGCTGAGATGGAGGATGGCTTGAGCCCAGAAGGTAGAGGCTGCAGTGCACCACTGCGCTCCAGCCTAGAAAACAGAATGAGACTCTCTCTCAAAAAAAAAAAAAAAAAGTTAGAGATGCCTGGCTTCACAGTTCTGGAGGCTAGACGCCTGAAATCAGGCTAGACGCCCATACTGAATAACTGGCTTGATTCCACGAGACAAAAAGTTATCTTCTGCCTCACACTGGGGGAAGACCCCAGGAACTCAGATTAGCTGATTTAAAATCAAAGTTCAGGTATGGCAGGGCCCTGCCTACCCTGAACCTATAGGAGAGAACCTTCTGGCCGTGGCACCTGGCTGCATCACGCCAACCTCTGCCTCTCCTGTCACACAGCCCCTTGTCTCTTTTCTCTGTGCCTGTTGTATGAACATCTGTCATGATGGATTAAAGGCTCACCCCCGCTCTGGAGTGACCTCATCTTAACCAGTTCACATCTGCAACAACTCCATGTGGAAATGAGGTCACAGTCAGACGTTCTGGGGGCCAGGACTGCAAAGTTTGCTTCTGTGGGAGACCCAGGTCAACTTCTAACAATGGATAAACAAATAAACAGTGGTATCCCATATAAACAAAAGTTGTTCAGTCATAAAAGGGAATGAGGCCGGTCGCGATGGCTCCCACCTGCAATCCCAGCACTTTGGGAGGCCGAGGTGGGCAGATCATGAGGTCAGGAGATCGAGACCATCCTGGCCACATGGTGAAACTCTGTCTCTACTGAAAATACAAAAACTATCCGGGCGTGGTGGTGGGTACCTGTAATTCCAGCTACTGGAGAGGCTGAGGCAGGAGAATCATTGAACCTGGGAGGTGGAGGTTGCAGTGAGCCAAGATCATGCCACCACACTCTAGGCTGGGCAACAGAAGGTGACTCCATCTCAAAAAAAAAAAAAAAAAAAAAAAAAGAGGGAAAACGGGAGTGAACCCAGACTATAGTAACCATCATGAGCCTCCTCAACAAGCCCAAGAGTGAGATGACCCCAGAGGAGCTGCAGAAGCATGAGGGGGAGGAATTTAACACGGGCCCACTCTCTGTGCTCACGAAGTCAGTCAAGAACAACACCCAAGGGCTCCTCAACTGCCACAGCAATAAGAAACTCCTGGACCCCGTGAAGGCTTCCGATAGGCACTGCAACATGGTGCTGGAGAACGAGGAGATGCGAACTGAGGTACCCAAGAGCGGCAAGGGCAAGAAGAAGTCCAAGCCAGTCGATAAAGACCGCTACATCGCCAAGATGTTCCTGTGTGGGAACTGGGCCATCGTGGTCCTGCGGCACCCGCTCACCGCCAGCAGGTAGGGGCCGCCTATCCGTTGACAGAACTCACTCCCGGGTCCTACAAAGACCACCGCCATTGGTGTTGAGAATAATAAAGCTCTGTGCTTTTCTAATTAAAAAAAAAAAAGAGAGAGAGAGAGAAAGGAAGGAAGAAAGGAAGAAGAAAGAAGGAAGGAAGGAAGGAGAAAGAGAAAGAAAGAGAGAAGGATGGAAGGAACAAAAGAAAAGAAAGAAAAAAGGAAAGAAAGAAAGAAAGAAAGAAAGAAAGAAAGAAAGAAAGAAAGAAAGAAAGAGAAAGAAAGAAAGAAAGAAAGAAAAGAAAGGGGAAGGAAGAAAGAAGGGAAGGATAAAGGGAAGGAAAGGAATGAAATTCTGGTACATGCTACAGCACAGATCAAACCAAAACATTACACTAAATGAAAGATGAGACACAAAAGGCCACATATTGTACAATTTCACTTATATGAAATAGCCTGAACAGGCAAATCCATAGAGATGAAAAGTAGATTATAGGGGCTAGAGGGAAGGGAAGAATGGGGAGTGATTGCTCATGGGCGTGGAGTTATTTTTAGGATAATAAAAAATGTTCTGGAATTAAACAGCAGTGACAGCACAATTTTGTAAATATACTAAAAACTACTGAATGGTACACTTGAAAAGGGTGAATTTATGGTATGTAAATTGCATCTTGATTTTCAAAAACAAAGAGAGAGAGAGAGAGAGACCCTGTTTAAGAGGATGAAAAGCCAAGCTACAGACTGGGAGAAAATGTTTGCAAACCACATACGCCCCAGTGGACTTGTATTTAGAGTATACTTTTTAAAAAGGAGCTCTTCAAAAACCAACAGTAAAGAAACAATCTAATTAGAAAATGGGCAAAAGAAATGAAGACACAGCCGGGCACGGTGGCTCACGCCTGTCATCCTAACACTTTGGAGGCTGAGGTGGGTGGATCACTTGAGGTCAGGAGTCCAAAAGCAGCCTGACCATCATGGTGAAACCCCATCTTTAAAAAAAAAGAAAGAAAGAAAGAAATGAAGACACACAGCCAGGAGCCATGGCTCATGCCTGTAGTCTCAGCACTTTGCGAGGTCAAGGCAGGGAGATCACCTGAAGGCAAGAGTTCAAGACCAGCCTGGCCAACATGGTGAAACCTCCATCTCTACAAAAATACAAAAATTAGCCAGGCATGCTGGCGGTGCCTGTAATACCAGCTACTCATGAGGCTGAGGCAGGAGAATCTCTTGAGCCTGGGAGGCGGAAGTTGCCGTGAGCCAAGATCATGCCATTACACTCCAGCCTGGGCAACAGAGCAAGACTCTGTCTCAAAAAGAAAAAAAAAAAAGAAATGAAGAAACATTTCACTGAAAAAGATACACAGATGGAAAATAAGCACATGAAAAGATATTAAATATCATTAGCCACTGGAGAGAGCTCAATTAAAACCACAGAGAGGTATCACAAGACACTTTCAGAACAGCTAAATTAAAAAATAAAAATAGTAACAATACAAAATGCTGGTGAGGATGTAGGGAAACTAGATCCCTCATATGTTGCTGGTGAGAAGTAAAGTGGTACAGCTCCTCTGAAAATAGTCTGGCTGTTTCTTCAAAAACTAAACATGTACGTATCATCCGACCCAGCAGTTACACTCTTGGGCATTTAAATGAGAGAAAATGGAAAGTTATGGTCACACAAAAACCTCTACCCAATTGTTCAGAGCTGCTTTATTTATAATAACCAAACACTGGAAACAACCCTGAATTGTAATCCCCATGGGCCCGGTAATCCCCAGGTATCAAGGGCAGGACCAGGTGGAGGTAATTGGATGATTGGACGGTTTCCCCTAGGCTGCTCTCCTGATAGTGAGTGAGTCTCACGAGATCTGATGGTCTTATAAGCTTCTGGCATTTCCCCTGCTTGCACTCACTCCGGCCTGCCACCCTGTGAAGAAGGCATCTGCTTCTCCTTCGCCTTCAGCCACGATTATAAGTTTCCTAAGGCCTCCCCAGCCATGTGGAACTGTGAGTCAATTAAACCTCTTTCCTTTATAAATTACCCAGTCTAGAGTATTTCTCCATAGCAATGGGAGAGTGGTCTGACATAAACCCTTCGCCCTTCAATGAAAGTGTAACATCCCCAACCCAAACACTTCTAATTAATAAAAGGGAACGAACCATAGATATACATAATAACTTTGAAGGATCTCAAGAGAGCTATGCTGAGTGAAGAAAAAAAGCTAATCTCAAAAGGTTACATACTATAGGAATCCATTTATAAAACATTCTTTAAATGTAAATGACAACCTTACAGAGATGAAGAACAGATTAGTGGTTGCCAGGGATTAGGAACTGGGGTGAGTGGGTGGGTAGGACTATAAGGGATAGTGATGGAACTGTTCTGTATCTTGATTGCGGTGGCTGTCACACAAATCTGCACAGGTGATAAAATTACATCACACACACAAACACACACACAGTCAGGCATGGTGGTTCATGCCCATAATCCAGCATATTGAGAGGCAAAGGTGGGAGGCCAGGAGTTCAAGACCAGCCTGAGCAACATAGTAAGACTCCATCTCTCAAAAAAAATTAGAAAATCACCAGGCATGGTGGTGCATGCCTGTAGTCTCAGCTCCTCAGGAGGATGAGGCGGGAGGATCGCTGGAGCCCAGGCGATTGAGGCTGCAGTGAGCTATAATCTCACCACTGAATTCCAGCCTCAGCAACAGAAGAATACACCGTCTGAACCCACACATAGACACACACACACACAGCAATGTATGTATATCACTGTTATTAGGTCTGTGGATTGTACCAATGTCCATTTCCTGGTTTTGATAGTGCACTACAGATATGCAAAAATGTTACCATTAAGGGAAACAGAATGACAAGTCCATGGGACTTCTCTGTACTTTTTTTCTTCAATTTCCTATAAACAGAATTATTTCAAAATAAAGAGTGTGTGTGTTGTTGTTGTTTTAGAAACAGGGTCTCACTCCATTACCCAGGGTTAGTGCAGTGGTGTGACCATGGCTCTCTGGGCGGGCAATGCATCGTTGTGATGAAAAATAAGACACAAGTGGAAGGCACTGGGTTGGAACTCTGGGAAAGATTTTTTTTAAGTGGCTGACTGCTCTTTTTTTGGAGGGCAGGGGTAGAGTTTTGGTCTTCCTTGCCCAGGCTGGAGTGCAGTGGTGAGATCTCAGCTCACTGCAACCCCCGCCTCCAGGGTTCAAGCAATTCTCCTGTCCCAGCCTCCCAAGTAGCTGGGGTACAGGCACCTGCCACCATGTCTGACTAATTTTTGTATTTTTAGTAGAGACAAGGTTTAACCATGTTGGCCAGGCTGGTCTCAAACTCCTGACCTCAGGTGATCCACCCACTTTGGCCTCCCAAAGCGCTGGGATTACAGGTGTGAGCCACCTTGTCCAGTCTTTTTTTTTTTTTTTTTTTTTTTTCTCTGTCACCCAGCTTGAATTGCAGCAGCGTGATCATAGCTCAGTGCAGCCTCACACTCCTGGCCTCAAGCCATCCTCCTGCCTCAGCCTCCCAAGTAGCTGAGACTACAGGTGCTTACCATTATGCTCAGCTAATTTTTTAATTTTTCTAGCGACAGCAGTCTCACTATGTTGCTCTGGCTGGTCTCAAACTCCTGACCTCAAGTGATCCTCCCACTTCGGCACCCAAAGCTCTGGGATTACAGGTGTCAGCCGCAGTGCTACAGGCAATGCCCTTTACACCACTCTTCTTCCTTTGTTCTGGAATATGGATGTGATGGTTGGTGCTGCAGCAGCAGTTGAAACCCATGAGGTGATGCTAAGGATGGAAGCCCGGAGAATGCAGAGGTTGGAGGGGACAGAAAAGGAGAGCCTGGGATACAGTGACTCCACGGAGCCAGAGACCAGACCTGGGCTGAGCTGCCCACTTCTGATATTTAAGCCACTTTTTCTGCTACTTTGAAACTCATCCCTCAGTCCCCAACCAGGTCCGAAAGGACCAGCGAGAATCTGGAGAACCAGGCTGAAACAGGAACAAAAACAAAGGCATCCCGAGGCGAAGAAGCCAGAACCATATCCAGGAAGGTACCAGTGGTCCCATCATTGTCACAAGGCGAGTCCCCTCCTTGCAGGAGCAGCTGGGAATATAAACAGTCACTGCCAGGCAGAAGGAAGACACATCCTTTCCTGGAAGCCAAGTTTCGGGTTGGGACAAGAAAAGAGACCGTAGGAGTCTGTACATTTTCCTTCTAAAAGTCCCTCTCTGGCCCGGACACTGACTTATGCCTGTTAATCTGAGCACTTTGGGAGGCCGAGGCTTGAGGATGGCTTGAGCCCAGGAGATTGAGACCAGTCTGTGAAACATAGCAAGACCCTATCACTACATTTTTAGATTTTAGAAATAACTAAAAATAAATAAAAGCCCCTCTTTGGAGATTTTGCTTCTTTATTTTTTTAGTTAGTTATTTTTAGAGAGTCTCATTGTTACCCAGGCTGTAGTGCAGTGGCGCGATCTCAGCTCACTGCAACCTCTGCCTCTGGGCCTCGAGCCATTCATTCTCATGCCTCCGCCTCCTGAGTAGCTGAATCACAGAAGCCTGCCACCACACCAGGATAACTTTTTTGTTTTTTGTTTTTTGTTTTTTGAGACAGTGTTTCGCTCTTGTTGCCCAGGCTGGGGTGCAATCATGCGATCTCAGCTCACTGCAACCTCTACCCCCCAGGTTCAAGCGATTCTCCTGCCTCAGCCTCCCAAGTAGCTGGGATTACAGGCATGCACCACCACACCCAGCTAAGTTTGTATTTTTAGTAAAGATGGGGTTTCACCATGTTGGTCAGGCTAGTCTCAAACTCCCGACCTCAGGTGATCTGCCTGCCTCGGCCTCCCAAAGTGTTGGGATTACAGGCGTGAGCCACTGCGCCCGGCCAACTTTGCCTGTTTATTGTTATGATATTTCCAGAGAGAATCATACGTGCTCAATGTCGCAAATAAAACTAGAGTTACAAATAGATGTGTCCACCA